CATCCTGACTCAAGTCTGATTAAGGCCGGGGGTCCCCAGGCCGTTTGATCTCCATTCATCAAAGAGAGTCTTTAAACAAGCTTCATTTTACACTACTGTATGCTGGTGACGGTTGTGACACCAAAGTGCAGCCACTGGGAGTAGCTTCCCTGGTGGAGAACATGAACAATGGGGATTGGTGCCTTCGCTAAGACCCTGGCACCCAGAGCTTGCCTGCTGGGAATTCACCACTACCTCCTCCCATTCTTCTCTACAACTGAGTTTTCCTGAAAATTATTTTGTTTTTGTGACTTAAGGATCATGAAGGATTCTGGTACTGCCTATACATCCCTCCTCTTCCCTGCCAAAGTTACTCCATTTCTACCACACATTCTCTGAGAATTCTAAGATAGGGTCTCCAAACCCTAAAGAGTTTTCAAGTTCCTCCTTTATATTTGTCACTTGAGTCCATTACTATTAACCAATTTGAGATTTAGTGATAGTTGGGGGGGAAATAATAGTTCTAAAACATTACTATTTGTAAAGAGTGTGTGTGTGTGGGGGGGAGAATCTTTCCTCTGTGTGTATAGAAACTAGAAAAAATCTTCCCTCTCTGTGCATAGGAACTAGAACACTAGTTCCTAGTTTTAGCAGTGGTTTCTTCTGTGCAATGGGATTACACAGGTCATTTATTTTTGCTTTGTACTTTTCCATATTCACTGAATTTTTTAACAAAATAATTTTATGAGAAATTATATATATATATATATATGGATACATAGGTACTTAAATATACAAGCATGCGTACATGTTATATATCACCCAATTCAAATAATACACTGTATTTTCAGAGAATTTCTTTAAAAATGTATGCTTATTTTCCTCAAAATCAAGACACATTATTGATGACAATGATCATTATCTTTAGGTTGCCTGAAAGAACACAGCTCTTACAGTATATACTTATTTAATCAAACTATAAAAGGTCTTGCCTTGATATTACCCAAAAAGAGGCATGACATCAAAAGGATTGTCTCTACCTACCCTATGTCCCATTTTATAAATGAAAGACCAACATCAGCTCTGGAAGTTAATTGGCTTGGCCAAGGCCCCAGCCAATTGGCCAGTGTCACAAAAATTACTGTGCACAGATGTGCCCCAGATTCCTGCTGCCATGGCAGGGTGCCCTTCTTGGTCATGACCTTTGGAGATGTCTGCATTCTGGAGGAGATCATAACATGGAGATAATTCAGTAACATGGAGAGCAATGATTTTTCTTCACAGCTAGAGACTTTCAAGAGACTTACATCTTGCTTTTTGGGCCATGTTTCATGAACAGAAATATCAGTTCCCTTAGGGGAATGATAATGGGGGTGCTTTACAAACCCTGTAACAATACAGCACAGACCTTTCTCAGTGTAAGGACATCAAGAAAGTCCTAGAATTTCTGGGCTTGGAATCTTATGTTCAGATCAGTTATTAATGTCCTGTTCCTTTTAATGTGGCTACCATGAAGACCGATTTATCTGTGCTAATCAGCTAGCTCTCTTGGGCTTGGTCTAGCATTACGATTGAAGTCTTTTAAAGGCCAGTGAGAAGTAGTTTAGGAATGAGGAACTTCTACTATAAATTCACTTGTGGTACCAACAAAATTTGGCAACACTCCCCATAAAAAATGACATTTATTCAATGTTTTCCTGGTGAATAAATTTAAATGGCAGCAGATCTGTTTCCTTTGATTTAACAAAGAAAAAGAACGAAAAAAAGAGGGGAAAAAGAATGGAGAGATGGAAGAAGGGAGGAAAACATAGGGAGTGAATTAAAAATGCAGCAGTCTCATAAGAACATCAAACAAAAGTGGGAAAAATTATTTGCTAATAGGATAGTATTTTGAGTGGTGTATTTGTCAGTCTCTCTCCTCCATGAAGACGTTGAATCTTCTATGCCTGGTGTTTAACATTTAAAGTAGGAGGAAAGCACCCATTATCATACTGTTCTGAGTTAAAAGGTGCAATTAGACAATGGTAAACACATTTACAATCTAATACCAAATACCAAATTTACTAAGACCATATTTAAAAGAGAGAAAAAGGAAGGCAAGCTTCCCTACAGAATTAAATTCCTTGCAGAACTTTAAAAAAAGATAGGTTTCCTTAGAGAACTAAAAGTAATTTTGATTACCTGAGTACACCTGCCCTAGTTCCCATCCCCCAGCTACAAGACACCAGAAATTTATTTTCCTTTATAATTATTGTATTGATCAGTTTCTGGGCACTTTCAATCTTCCCCATAAAGTAAAAACTGTTACTGAGAAAAAAATTTACTCCCATCCAATGTAAGACTATTTGTCTCCCCAACTGGTCTAGACTGAAATTTTTTTGAGCAGGTGGAACTTGCCTGTAATATTGAGGGCTGGGGGAGTGGGATGGAAGTTTATATCCTAAAGAAAAAAGGTGATATTTTGCTTAGAATAGATACTTACTGAATATTCAGTGGCTGTTGATGGAGTAATGACCTTCACTTTACCACCTTATCTATTCTGCTCTTTTGTTGCCAGTGAGCAAACTCAATCCTGGGATGGATTTTCAAATGAAGACTCCACTGAAACAGTTTTCCCATTTGAAACAAAGATTTGTTTACTGTATACAGTAGAGCTCTGTCTGCTACATAGTTTCTCTTCTCTATACTTAATCAACTTGCTCCCCCCAACTACATTATTTGAGGATAGATGAGTAAGCATCTTTCATCAGATAGCATTAAGTCCTGTTTTACACACAGTAAGAGCTCGGGCTTTAACCTGAGTTTCACTAGTTTTCAAGTGCCAATTTAAAAAACTTTATGAATGTAGGGAAGGAATAGAATTCAGTCTGTGCTTGAAACCTAGATTTTGCCCAAGCTCAATGAATATTAAACCATAGTAAACATACATATTCAAGAATTGAGACTGAATTTATGCAACTTGGTTTTTTGTTACTTTTCCTCTTGCTTAAGTTGCGCCACTTTTCTTTACCCTTGCACAATTGTTTCACTTCTGAATACAAACTCTTAACAGTCACTTGTTAAATGCTTTAGTCATATGCTCTCTCTCCAAAAGAGATGAAGAGATTGGCCTGAAGAATGGCACAAGTATATTTCTGGAAATATTTAAATAGGGTAAAAGGATTAAGAAGAAATATTTTACCCCTTCCCATGGTCAGGAGATTCTTTTCCTACATTTCAACTTTATAAAATGTTGAGGCAGACCATAGATTTTCTACTAGTCTTTCAGCATCATGATAGACACTTATCAAAATTCTCCAAGTGCTATTATGGTACCAAAAATCCCATTCCTTTAATATTTCACCCTGTAATATCTCTCCATCTATATATTCTTCAAACATCTTACATAGGACCATACCAGTACAACAAATATGGCTCACTGTTCATTTTCAATAAAATGTGTATGTAGTGACATATCTGCTCACCAGGCTCATTATATAAAAACGCTAATATAAACAATTTTCCCTGTGTTTCCAAACTTGAACTTGCTGCAGAAATTTGTAGCATGTAATAATCTAGATCATTGCAGCACATGTTCATAAAAAAAAAAAAAACAAGAAATATGTAGAATTTAGTCCATGACGGAATTCCAAGCAGGAGTTATCAGAAAGGATAGATCGAATTTGAGTGAGACGTTTACAGTGTAATTAAGGGAGCACTATTAATTGTCTAGGAGATGTTCAGACCATCATACATTCATGAATTACCTCCTCCAACTTTAGGATTACACCAAGACAATCACTGGCTCAGTTAGGACTATAGTAGGTTGGCTTAAGACTTACAGATTCTTAAAGGTTTTATCTACAATACAAGTTAAATATAGCCCCATCTTTTCATTATTCAACAGGACAGCATTCTTAAACATCAACCTTACATTCTTATTTTTACACAGTGACTACAAATTTACTTTCCCATTCACTTTCAGCTCCCCTTTTCCTGAAACTAGTCTATCTGCCGCGTGGGGATATTCACAGGTCTTCTGAAAAATGATTTGGGCTCAAATACAAGCTTCCTCAAGCACTGCGGAATGAAACACTAAAGAGAAAATCAGGCGCTAAGTCTTAAGAGTTTATCTCCTGCTTTAACCCACTGCTAAGAGGAAACTTGGGAAGGACGACTGTGAAGACCCGTGGACCCCCGTTCTCTTTTCGTCAGTCACTTTGATCTTGCGCATCTGCCTAATCAAGTTCATCTACTGCCACGATTGCTCAGATTCAAAGGACATTAAATTATTTGATTATCCGATGGTCATTTCCCTCTTCCCTAAAACCTTGATCTAATTCCCAAATGTCAGTCTCTCGCCTCCCTCTCTAAACTTCCCATCAAAAGAGAATTAGTTCTTCCCTTTTACCCTCGTTTGATGTGCAAATTTCCTTCTCTTTGCACATTTTTTCCCTTCGTGGTGGCGGTGAAGGGGGGTGAGGGGTTTGTAATCCAATGAACTTAAAGCCAAGGACTTCACCCCAATTCTGCAAACCGTAACCCTAAGGGGTTAAACAGCAACTTGTAAACTTACACTGGTGACCTGGCGTTCTCACTGAGAGGTTTTGATAGAGTTCAATACGGACATGGTATCGACGTGCATAGTAAATGAACATTGACATTAAGGGAAAGAGGCGAAGTGGTTTTGAGTATCACAATTCCACTCCGAAGTATTTCAGATCCGGATAATCCAACCTCCAAGGCAAGGACACCCAAGTTTCCGAAGTTGCCCCTTTTCCTGAATTTATTAAAGTCATCTGCTCTAATGCGCACTGATTACTGTCACCTGGAAGGTGAGGGGAGGGGAGGCAGGGGAAAGGCTGCATTAGGGAGGGGCGGAGTGAAGAGTGTCAAAGGCCCCCTCCAAGTACACAAACACACCCCTCTCCCAGCCCCTCCCAACGCTTTGAAATCCCATCCTGACTTTGTTGTCTCCCCCGGAGGGGCCGGAATGCTCAGAGCCCGCAGTATAAAGGCTGGAGCTGTGGCGGTGGCGGCGCAGAGCTCTCTGCTCCCTGAAATCTGGACTCTGGGACCGCAGGAGGCTCTTGGAAGCCTGACTCCGCAGCCGTGCCTGCTCGGCTTCGTAGGGATCAGGCTTGCAAAGCGACATCACCTCTCTCTTTCTTTTCTCGAGTCCTTCTGAGATGACGGCTCTGGGTGCAGTGGGAGCTGCCCGGGTCTTGGTCACCCTGCTGGCGGTGTCTCTTTGCGGTCATCCTCTGCTGGGAGTGAGCGCCACCTTGAACTCGGTTCTCGTCAATTCCAACGCCATTAAGAACCTGCCCCCACCGCTGGGCGGCGCTGCTGGGCACCCAGGCTCCGCTGTCAGCGCTGCTCCCGGAATTCTATACGATGGTGGTAACAAGTACCAAACCATTGACAACTACCAGGTGAGAAGGGTCTCAGGAACCCTGGGACGCTGTGATCCTTTGGGGAGGAGGCTATAGTATGTGCGCGGTTCAGGGCACATCTGGAAACTCTCCACTGGGGCGCTGTGGACCACAACTTTTGGAAAGGTGGGCTGAGGGACTGAGAGGATTGTGGATACCTGGATGCCTGTGTGCCTTACTCTCTCCTGCCCCCCTTCTTGTAGCCGTACCCCTGTGCCGAGGACGAGGAGTGTGGCACGGATGAGTACTGTGCGAGTCCCACTCGAGGAGGGGCTGCCGGCGCGCAAATATGCCTTTCCTGCAGGAAGCGCAGAAAACGCTGCATGCGTCATGCTATGTGTTGCCCGGGGAATTACTGCAAAAATGGTGAGTTGGGCAGATCCCTTCGGACTCGAGCTGTGCAGTCTGTGTGCACCAACAGATGGGAAGGGGGAAAAATGTTCTCTGCTCTTAACGCAGCGGCGCCGCCCGCCCGTGATGTTTAGCATCGGTGCAAGATTTCCTTGAAACTTTTTTGTTGTTGTTGTTTAGCTAATGTTAAATCCCTGAGCAGAGACAAGTACGGGAGACTTGGAGCTCTTTATCTTCTTTATCACTTAACAGGACGGTATAGCTCAGACTGGAACCTGCCATAAACATTTGAGGAGTGCCTGGATAGCAATATAAAAAAAATGATGGAAAGGGAGATGGGTTTATATAAAAGAGGAAGGAAAACTGTTGTCATTTAGTTGCCCTTTCCATTTGTTTGAGGGGTCACTCTTGCACCTCTGTCAGACCGGTTTCTCCTTCAGAATCTCTAGAAGCTTTGCCAGCTGGAAAACAGAAAATTTATCTGTGCTGGTCATTCTTAAAGGAGATCTTGACAGCCTCACCTTCTCTCCATCAACCCCTCACCACTCCCTCCTGCTATCTTAAAATAAGTACTCCTCCACAAAACCACAGATCCACTAAAATTTAATGTCTCAGTCAGCCAGAGAATTCTCCAGAAATAACTTAAGGGTGGCGATCCTCTTTAGGACCCAGTAATACTCGTGAATGAACTAGCTAAATCTCTGTAATATAGAAATTATACAGTACTTTTTGTAGACTGGTGGATGAGATGTAATCTTGTAGGCAGATGATGTTGCATCTGCTTAACTTACTCTTGCAGTACATATATAGCACCAAGGGCAGAGAAGTTAATTTAAAAAACAGTTCAAGTGACTGATTTCCTTTATCTAAGACAGTATTTAAAATGGGCAGACATCTCTTACCATTACCACCGCTGGTCAGAAAAATAAATGACTGCAATGGGAATGTTGCATATGACTGCAAGTGTGTCCTCATGGATTCTTCTATCCATCTGGGGTTTTTGCATAAACACTAAAGATGAAGTTTGGCTGTGTTTAAAATAATCACTGCGGTTTGATATCTCAAAATGGTGTAGGCATAGCAGTTATTGCCACAGTTAGTAACCGTAGCACATTACCACATGGGAGTTAATCACTATCTCTTGTTTCTTCAGGAATATGTATGCCTTCTGATCACAGTCATTTCCATCGAGGGGAAATTGAGGAAACCATTATTGAAAGCTTTGGTAACGATCATAGCACTTTGGATGAACTACAGCACTCCAGAAGAACTACACTCTCTTCAAAAATGTATCACACCAAAGGTAGGTAAAAGGTCTTTAAGCCTCATTGTTAGTAAAAGACAGAAATGTCTTCTGTTTAATGAGATAATAAAGTTCAGCAGTGACCATGTACTTCTCCTGTCTCCTCCTTCCTAGGACAAGAAGGCTCTGTTTGTCTCCGATCATCAGACTGTGCTACAGGATTGTGTTGTGCTAGACACTTCTGGTCCAAGATCTGTAAACCTGTTCTTAAAGAAGGTCAAGTGTGCACTAAACACCGACGAAAAGGTTCCCATGGGCTGGAGATATTCCAGCGTTGTTATTGTGGAGAAGGTCTATCTTGCCGGATACAGAAAGAGCACCATCAAACCAGCAATTCTTCCAGGCTTCACACCTGCCAGAGACACTAAGCCAGCTGTCTAAATGCAGTGGACTCCTTTTATATATGCTATGAAAACCTATTGTGATTTTGTCAGCTCAATCTTTAAGGATGTACAAATTCTGTGGTTAGATTTAAGCATTCCAATAATACCTTCTGAAAATCTGGAGTGTAAGAACGTTGTTTCTTTATGGAACTCTCCTGTCATTGATTGCAGTAAATTACTGTGTTGTAGATTCTCAGTGTGGCACTTACCTGTAAATGCAACAGAACTCTTAATTATTTTTCTAAAGGTGCTGCATTGTCTATTTTTCCTCTTATTGTAAATGTTTGTATACAATGTTATCTTGCCTCAAATATTCTATATGAATTGAAATAAATGATTTCAGCTTATACTTCTAAACGCATAATCTATTCCCATTTTAATTCTAGAAGGCAAGGAGCTTTTGGAAAGATCTGACAGCAACCCAAATTATGGAAATACTAACTCATTTTCTGAAATGAGCTATCTTAGCACTAAGACTGTATTTATCTCTAGACTGATAGTCCTTGAAATAACATTTAATATTTAATACCATGAAATGTTACAAGTATAGACAAATTTTGACTGTGATCTTAGAGGTGTATGTGTCATACAAGGATAGATACTGAACACAGAGATAAAAAGATATTTCTAAATGGAAGAAAATATTGGTAATACTTTAGAGTAATTTAAAAGAAAAGTTTGTGTTATCACTGACAAACTATTGTCAGTTATCACTAACAAATTTGTGTTGTCAGTGAAAGAATCCTATGTTACTAGTTTCCAATAAAATAATATTTACCCAAATGGTTAATAAATATTAGGCAATAAAGAAAATTGCCCACAAAAATTCTACCAAAAGAGATATTTGTTGGCTGGCAGAAAGAAAGATAAGTATAGGTATAACACTGTTGAAAGTTGAACGCTGACTTTATATGAAATAAATTAATTTAAAATCAGATGCCACTGATTTTAAATTTTCCTGGCATATGCCAGGAAAATTTGTTTTAGGTAATCTGATTTTAAAATAATTAACAAAAATCCCAAGTCTACCTCTATTTTTTCCCCTTTTACTGGCGATATGAGTTGATTATTTCAATTTTTGCTGCACTTGAAATTTGTTGATTGAAATGAGGTTAGGGATACATTCTTTGAAAGAAAACACCCAGAAATTAAATAATTGGCTTTGCATTTTTACTAGCCAAATTTGATACTGGAAACTTTGAACTGGGAGAGGAACAATAGTCCCAATTTATACTTATTTTGTAATATTCAAAAGGTCTGCATCAAACCACAAATTATTTGGGTTTTAAAACATTCAGGACAGCGTCTGATCAACCATCCAAAAAGTTTCCTTAAATAACAGATGGTCTAGAATGTTGTGCTTGCATTCCTGGAAGTGGTTCAATTTCAATGGCCTCTGCCAAAGGGACACTCAAGTTGGTTAGTTCCTCACAGAGCAGGAAACTGTCAAGAAGTCTGTTATATCCCTTTCGTCTGGAAGTTTCAGCTTCCTTACTGTGGAGTAACTTTTTCTACATGTTTTCACTTTCTAAAGGGCCAGTAATGCCAGTTTTAAGACTTGCCATCTTCCACAAAAGCACAATAGAGGAAAACATGATCCCTTCAAAAAATAGAAAAAAGGGCCTAAAGGAGAGAAAGGAGCAGCTGTTTATTTAGGACCTTGGTTATGGGATCCCTTCTGTTCTACAGGAACTGACTATGGCCAGAGACTTTCCATCCATCTTAGTCCATCAATCCTATTTCTAGTCTTTCTGTTTTCCATTGTAAATTGTGGTAGAAAAGGAGAAACTCAAGGAGGAACATCTTTTCCTACTCAAGTGAGAAGTGAGGAAATTTCCATCATGATAAAAGCCTTCACAATTATAAAGGGGAAAAGGACTATCAAAATAACTATAGATAATTTGTTAGCCAGTTATGGAAGATGGCAGTCAAATATAAAACAATTTCAAAACAGCCACTTAGGGAATCACAACTTAGTGGCTCCTTAAATTGCATGCATCATTTTTCTTTTAAACAGTTAAATTATTTGATTTGAATGAAAAATTGAGAATACACTCACAGGTATTTTATCAGATGGTAACATATCCTCTTTACTTTCTGTCTCTTGGTCTTTAAGTGTCTTGCGGGTAAATCATATGTACCACACAGGGCGCTGCCACATTCATTTAATGGCTGCAGTATGTAGCACATTGTAATGACTATCATCATTTAGAGAGTCATTGAGACATGTAACTTTTTTGCACTTTTGATATAATATGTGCTGTGTATATGGATTTTTTTGTTTGTTTTTATGTGTCATATTTGTAGAATAAGACTGAATTCTGAAGCAAAATCCAAAGTCAAAATGCTTTCTGTAGTTACTTACAAGAGGTGGTGTGGGCAAAATGTCAAGATACCTGCTTATCACTGATGATTAAACTCTTGCTAAATTATATCAAAGAAGGAAGAGAGAAATACAGGCTTATCCTAACAATTTCACAGTAAACAGTAATCTCTGGGCATTCAGCTGAAGGAAGATTTGCTCTAGTTCCTGTGATTTCAAAAATAATTATTACAGAAAATCACAATCTTTCTCCCTTCCATTTTCCTGTTAACATTTTTATTTTATTAAGCCTGAAGTATACTGATTGGAATGAGGATGAGGAAATACTGTTTAAAAGAAAAAACACATGCAGACTAAATATAACTATTCATACTTTAACATATTGAAACACTTTCTGGATTTTTCCCATAGCAAATAGCACTGATTCAATCATGGATCAATAATTATACAATTACAGATTTTTGTCAATTTCAGTATTTGTTACTGATAATTTAGTGTTTGTTATATACTTGTCACTTATGTAAATTTCAGGTAAAATATTCAATTTACCTTCATTTTTAAACTGACTATAGTATCCGATTTTATCATGTTACCAACTTTCTTTCAGTCTTAACGAAAAATGAACCTTTTTCTGTAACCCTCTAAAATATGTTCCATTGTGTTTTGAATTAAGATTTTCAGCTTTTCTAAAACATACAATGCCAAAATATAAAGCAATGCCAAAATATAAAATATATCAATTATCTACCAAAAGCAGCAGAAAATACATAATTTAGATTTGTTTTGTTTTGTTATATAAGTGTATATACTTGTGTGAACCTATAGATGTCCTAATAGCAACTGCTTAGAAATCATCAAATCAATAAGCAGACTACAACCTGTGTGCTCATTTAATTCAACAGGCACTACTCTGGCATTTAAAAAGATGAGCTCTTTGTTACAGAGCAAATTATGCACATCACTTTTAGAAAGGAGATGAACAATTATCAGTGTGGTGAAGGCGTGGGGACTGGTTTAATATGTTGATTAGAAACAATCCCTAGAATAGGTGGATAGGGTGAGAGCCTGGCTCCCTCAGGCTTTGAACAGCAAGAATATTGAGCAAAGTATATAAATGTTAAGAGTATATGTATGAGAATAATGCATGCACTACAGTAACACTTTACATATCTAATTCATAAATTTAGATGTTTGCTAATGAATAACAACCAGAATGTATTGAATATAATAATGCCTCACAACAGATTTAAAAGTAATTAGTTCTGCCTGTAGGTATTCAGAGAAAGCTTCAGGAAATCTGTGGTATTTGAAATGTATTCCCAAGCTATTTTCATATTTCAAGGAACAGGAGCCATTTAAACTAGAGAAAGCTAAAAAGACATGGTTTGAATGTTACCTGTCATGAAAATCAGTATGGAAACCACTTTGCACACTGGCTTATTTATTCTGCCCATGATTACTATCCTACAGTAAATGTCTATAGCTTGCATGTGACATATATTCTATTATAAATGGCCTTCTCACTGCTAACTCTTAGATGCTGTATTCCAAATTCCTGGACAAGGGTGCTAATTGGTTTAGGTTTAATCAGGATGTCATCTCTTGATTTCCTGAATGCTAAAATATAATACAATTGACTACACCCAGTCCAGCTCTAATAGAAACTTTGATAGTTCAGAAGAGGGTGTAAAACAAACACTATTTGTCATACCTACTCTATATTAGTTTTGAAAGACTGAAGTTTCACAGGTAGAAAATTCAGGGAAGGGTACAGGAAATAGAAAGGAGTGTGATCCAAGCTACAAAGCTATAACAACAAAACTATTATGTTAAGAGGCAGTAATCCATTGCGGTTTGAGAGTGCCTGGGAGTAGGATGCCTGATTCTCCTATTTTTCAGGGGAAAATAAGATAAAAGCTCTTCATTTAACAAAATTATCATTTAAGGCCATGATAGAGTTGAACATGGTAAGGTGGAGATATGTTTCGAGATTAGTAGACTGTCCATGTTGATAATTCTCCATGTTGATAATTTTCCATGTTGATAATTCTCCATGTTGATAATTCTCCATGTTAGATGTTTGGAAAAAAAAAAAAGCGGAATGACAATATATATAGTATGATCTCAATTTCTGATTTTAATTACTTCAAGTCTAGATGGTCATATCTGAACAGTATGATTTGTGGGCCTATCATTCTTTTTCCTAAACCAGTCAGGCAAGATATTACTGTTAGTAGCAGTAAACCTAAAGGTAATACTAAAATGTTTTTGTAATAAGCTTTAACACATTAAGCAGATAACTTGATATACCTTATTTTGATTAGGAAAACACAAGCAGAGTTCTCTTCCCTAAATTTCTCAAAAACTAGAAAAAGAAAAATATCCTTGCTTTAGTGACCAAATTCTTTTCTACTCAGGAATTACTGAGATAAGCTTCTCTGGCACACAAAAGACACAATTTGTTGAACAAAGAAATGTATGAATGGATAAAAAGGAATAGCTGTGCAAACTTCAGTAAATTACAAAAAAAAAAAATCTAAACGATTACCTTAAAAAGTAACAGGAATAAGAAAAAGAAAAATCATAATCGATTATAATAGACTTCTTTTTCCTATGATCTTGTCTCCATTAGCTGTCAACTATTCCATGTGATTAAGTTACA